TCTGTATCCGAATCTGCCTCTGTATCTGTATCTGTACCTGTATCTGTGGATGTGCCTCTGAACACACACGTTTGGATGGTCCCATGGACCTGGCGACAGACGGACGTTTCTTCACAGACAGTTTTCACTAATTATCTGACACGCTGATGGCTGCTGGGCTGTGGCAGTTGCAGTTGCACTTGATGCAAGGGGGTAAGGTGGCAGGGGGGGGGTCCCATTTTGCTGCAGCTCGTTGCGGCCAAGGACTCATTTGAATGTGTGTTGTTCTTGTCCTCACTTTCTCACTCACACGAACACACCAACTTTACGTCGTACACATCTCAGAACTCTAATTTCAAAGGTCGTGCCTGGGAAAAGTGAGATGTGGAGGGGGAAGTGGACGCTGTTTTCAGCTTTATTTTTGGGTCCTTTTTCCAGCACTTTTTTTTTCCTTGGTCGGACAAACCGACGTCTCTCGTTTCGGTGTCATGTGTTTTAAGCCATGAGCATGTTTTATTTGCCAAACAGCGTTTTTTCGTTCTTTCGTTTTGTGTGTTTTGTTATGTTTGGGCTGCATCGGTTTGCGAAACCGAAAAATGTGCGAAGGACAACGGCGAAAAGGGGCGTCAATAATTGAACGCCCCCGGCCGAGAGTTTTGGGGTATCCAGTATCCCCTATATATTATCGGGCAGCTGGAAGTTGATTAAATTTAAGTATTCGCCAGCTCCGGCATTTTTAGTGGACTATCTTTCGCCATCCGGCTGCAACTCCTGCGAATTTGCATTTGCTATTCCGTTCTTGATTTGAGCGCGGGTAATTGTGCTGCGGAATTATTAACAATTACGTATTTATGCGCCCCTTAGTTGGGGCGTGGAATTTGGGGCATCCGTTGGCCGGGTGTTGGCCATCGTGGAATATGCGAAATGCCCTTGATTATCACGTATACGACACAGAAACGTGCGAAATCTAGAATTTATTTTTGTCATTTGGTCGGTGCGGAAAATTGCACGGAATTAAATGGGATCAATGCTGCAAGTAAAACCAATACTAAGTATGTGTTTACTTATCATTGTGTAGAAAACATTGTAAATATTTGTATTTAGGGATAACTTATAAAATAAAATATCTAATATGATATAGTAGCCCTAGAACTTAAAAATATGTTATTACGTTGAAAAAAAAAATTTTCAAATAAAATATAAATTACTTTTATAGTTGGTAGTTTTAGTTGGCTTTAAAGAATATGATGTTAGTTTGAGTTCTTATTTATATCATAAGTCAATGAAACAGTTTGAATGATTATTTACTTTAAATTAGTCATACAAATAAGACTTTTAAATAATTACTATAACTACAGTTTATTCCTAATCAAAAGTAACTAAAACCATAAATTCCCAGCAATCAAACACCCTCTTTTTTAAATAAACAATGTCAACTGTTATAAACATGATTATTAATTGAATAAACTCATTCAAAACAAACTAGGATAACTTTCAAACTTTATTTTTAACTGGATATGCCACAAAAACCGTACATGTGTGGCCTATGCTTTATTCCAACACGAAATTAAAATGAGCTCTCCCAACTTTTCATGCAGTAATAATATGCTTAAAATATTCAAATAATGGTTTAATTTTAGTTTTATTTTATATATTTTTTAATCACTTAACTGTCAAACAAATACCCCCTAAATCATATAACTAGTGCTAATTGTAATCTTCATAGTGAATCCAAACTCATTCAAAACCAAGTAGAAACAACTTTTAAGCTTAATTTTTAACCGGTTATGCCACAAAAACCGTAAAACTGTGGTTGCTCTATTTTTGCTCTATTCTACCACTAAATTAAGATGAGCTCTCCCAACTTTTCCTATCCAAGTGCCGTCATTAAATAAACCCATTCAACGCAAACTGAAACCACTCGCAGCCAGGCGATGTGTGTCGCCAATTAGGCAGTTGTTCGGCTTGTCATTGACACCAAACTCGGCAGCCCTGAAAGTTACTCCCGGCGAGCGCAAACTACCGAATACAATGCATAAATCTAATGGAAATGGAAAAAACTGTCAACTACTTGGCTAAAAAGTTCAGATGTCCCATTATAAACACACACCCTCTGGGAGATCGTGGGAGGCAAACATTCCTCGAATTAGCAGGGCCAGCAACAAGCAGAAAATGTTAACAGTGGCCACAAACATTTGAGTGCCCAAATTGTTGGCAGCTGCGCAGAGAGAAAGCGGAGAAAGTACTCTCACTCTCTCTGTGAGAGGCCCTTTTCCTCTGCTTCTGCACAACTGTTGAATTTTCCTCTGCCGACAGATGTTGCCGCTGTTAACTGTTATTTACTTTTGCGGCAGTGGCAGCAACAGTTATAATTTTTGCCTGGCTTCGTTTTATGTCCTCGGATGATTTATTTTCGTACCGCCTGAAACTGAGACGGAGGAGTATGTGGTAGTAGGTACTACCAATGGCCCTGGCTATAAGGCATGTGGTCTTTGTTTGGATTTATGCGTGTGTGTTTGCCATGCCACCCCCTACTTTTAGCCCCTTTTTTTCAGCCCAACACTCCATCCCCCATCCTCTCGTTTTCATTTGCCTAGATTGTTTGCACGCCTGGCTGGTTGGATATTGTGTTTGGGCCAGAGATAAGACGCTTAGGCTGTGTGCACTCACAAAAATTGTTATTGTTGTCGTTCTCGCTTTGAGGATTGGATTCATTGAAATTGTTCTGTGGTCAGTGAATGGCTTTAAGCCAATTTTCAGGCGAATCCCAAAGGGATCAAGGTGAGTGTCTGTGTGTGACTTGCTTAGGTTTTCAGTAGCCAGTTCAGGTAATTCGATTTCGGTTCATCTTTGCCTTGCAGGTTATTCACACAAGTTTTGCTGGGGTCGGAAGTTAACTTTTGTTCAATGGTCCTCGGTGTTTGTGTCAGAACAGATGGGGATGAAACGAAATTATACAGAAATAAAATGGAGATACAAAACAGTAAGTTATTTTTGAAGTCACTTAACTTCAATAGTGAGAATCGCAGAGAAGGGCGTTTTACGGAAATCATATTGAGATACATGGCTCTTGTCAGAAAGTAGAGCTATTATACACCAATATGCTTAGCTTACTGAGCAAAATAATAGTAATTTACTTAAATTCCTAGTAAACATTATATTCTTAAAAGAAGGAGAATCGCAGAGAAGGGTGATTTACAGAAAACAAGGGATATACAAATTTAATGTCAGAAACTTGTTTCCTCATCCATTGAAAAGCTAAGTTTATTAAGCAGCATTAGAGTAAATTACTTTACTTTCGAAATAACTTACTTTCCAAGTTACTTGCATTCAAAGTTATTTACTTTCAATAATGAGAATCGCGGAGAGAGGCGATTTATTCCAAAGAATCACTTTGAATGATTCTCTGAGTGTGAAAATGTGTGCATCTGGGCCAAGTATTTGATCCCGTTAACTGAAATTTATGCAAACTGGCGGCCTCAACTTTTTCTATTACCCAATCATATCGTTTAATTAGCGATTGCCTCAGGATTTCCAGAGTCACGCCAGTCGTGGCAGGACTTAGGATTCAGGGTTCCAGTATTCAGGGTCTGCTCCGCCCTTTGCATGTTGTGTTCGAGCATTGTTGTGCATTATTTTCTTCTACTTTGCATTTAATCATTTTTTAGATGATGGGGCTGCTGCTGCTGTTGATGGCGCCTATTGTGGCGACCCTTTTGTGTGCCATTTGCATCACAGCTGGCGTCGACATTCACGAACATGCGACTGAGATTGCAATAGCGACTGTGCACTGCGGAAATGAAAACAATATCCATTTCCATTGTAGGTTTTTATTCGGTCTATATGCATACATATACATGCATATGGAATGAAGGGCCGCAAAAAGCGCATTGGAGGCCATAAGGGACTCCTGTCGCTGCCATTTTCCCACGGGCCTAGGGCCCAGAGCTCCCATACATACATACATACGTACATTTCGCACGGCAACCGAGGGCCTGGGCTTTAACCGTAACTCGTACTCCCACTTACCTGTCATAGCCCGATGCTTTCGATTCACTTGTCCTGACTCAGTGATGAGCGCTTGGCTTTGGTTTTCACTAAGAGCGGAAATGTATTGTAGTAGATTAGTTGGGAAACGGTATTTGGGATATTCCCTCGATCTCAAAATTTCAATATGAAGTTCCCAAAATGAGAGATAAAGTCATCTCGCTTTGCAAAAATGTTTTCATCGAGAGTACTTTCGTCTTGATTTTTAAGAACGTTTCTTGAAAAAGTAAAAAGGCAAAGTCCTGAAATTTCAAAAACGTTTCTTCTTGAAAAAGTTAGAAGACGAATTCTTAAAATTTCGATAGCGATTGTTCTTGGAAAAGTAAGAAGACGAATTCTTAAAATTTCAAGAGCGATTCTTCTTGAAAAAGTGAAAAGACAAGTTCCAAAAATTTAAAACATCAAATTTTAAAACTTATAAGAAGCATTCTTTACGAGTTTATTTTGGTTAAATTTGTTATGACATGAAGTAGAAAAATAAATATAAATGTATTCCTGAATTAGTTATGAATGAAAAATAAGGGAAGACATGGTCTAAGCTAAAATATATTCCAAAACAGTTTCTTTTTTTTTTCGCTTTCCTCATTCTGGGCAGAAAAATCCCAAAGAATGTGGGTCATCACTGACCACTCGACATTGAGTGCTGCTAGGATGCCATGAATGCCGTCCCTCGCGTGTATTGGGGTCCTGTTCGCATGAGTGTGTATATTTTCCCCCACAAATATGTGCGTGCAACAAGTTGAAATCTGCTACACTCATGCATAATGGAGGCAGACGCGAATCCGAGCCAGAAAAGTGAGCAAAACTATTGGCAAGCTGTCCTGGCCGGGTGGATTCTCTTACCTCTTTTGTGAGTCCTTGAATTGGGGGAATGTAGGGTAAGGCGGGCAAAGGATATTGGGCGATGATTGTCTATTGAATCGAGTGGCAGAGTCGGTCTAATGTTCTGCTGCCTCTTGCTCTTGTTGTTGCAGGTGCAGCCGTCGTCTTTAAGCGCCACTTGATGCCATCGTGACACACAAAAGAGAATCCATTGAAAAGGCAATTGACGAGGAGGAGGAGGAGTGGGACCAGGAGACGAGGTAACCAGGGGGCGACGGCGATGACACTGACGCATCCAAAAACGTCGCCACCCAGATGACGGGCAGGGGGGCATCAGCAGGAGGAGCCGGAACACCACAGCCCCGAGGACAAAACAAACCGATCAACGTGTCAAAGCGTCGAGTAGAATGCAAATAGGCGCCAAGAACAAGCACAGCAGCCACAGCAGCAACAACCGCCTCCAACCACCAGATCCCGAGTCTGAGCCAGAGCCACCACCTAGCATCCAACTGGGCCAACATGGCGGATGCGGACGATAGCAAGAGTGGTGACAGCGGGAGTGGCGCCGAATCCCTGCAGCTGCTGACCAAACTGGACAAGGCCGTCTCCACCAACGATGTGCTGCTGGATCTCCAGCGGGCCCTCACCTACGAGGCTGTCTTCAGCACCCTGGTGGAGCACAAGATGCAGGCCCTCAAGCGGGATTATGAGGAGCACAAGCGGGCCAAGCGACGCAAGCGGAAGTCCATCGGTCGCATTTTTCTGCCCAGGAAGCTCTTTGGCAGCTCCAGTCGCCGTTCCAGCAGGGAGGACACCCCGCCACCGGAGGAGCACCAATCTCCACCAGCCACTAGTACTAGTGGCGGCAAGACCAAGGCCAAGACAAAAGCCAAGGGCCGGGCGGATGAGATTGAGGAGGCCTCTGGCTCCTTGGCCAGTTTGCAGCGATCTCATCCGAAGCGGCCGGAGAACCTGGAGGACAGCCTAGCCAGCACACTGAGCAATTCCTCGGAAGCCCAGCACCGGCAGCATCGGCATAGCCATAGTTTACTGGTTCGAGCCCAGACCCACACGCCGGCACACCAGGTGGTGGACATGGATGCGGAGCGGAGGTCCATCAGCTCGGTGGAGGAGGGGCAAAGATCGAGGACCCAGCTGCCCGCCAAACATTCCACAACGATCAACGGCGAGTCGGAACTACTGCCCCCGATCTCCGGACACGACAATACCTCGACGACTGCCACAGCAACTGCCACAGTGACCGCCACAGGAGGAGGCGCCTCCTCTGGCGCCGGAGGAGTCCTCCACAGCTCCACCTTGGCGGACGACAGCATGACCGCCTCGCTGCGCGGCAGCCTGGAGAGCCTCTCCTACAGCAGCTCCCGCTGCACCGTCAGTTTCGGTGGAGCGGAGGTGATTGTCCCCTCCATGTTGGAGGCGGAGTCGCGGGAGCGGGTGCGACTGGCCAAGCGACTGAGGATCCTGGAGGCCAAGTCCATCAGCGCCCAGTGCAGCCCCATCTTTCCCAGGCACGTGGTGCGCTCGTTTCCGATGCAGTCGCCTCAACAGGGGGTGAGTTCTCATTTGAATATATATAAATTATAATGTGAAAAGGAAAATGCAGTCGAGACTGTGCCATAGACTTGTGGAAACTTTCATTAAACGATTTCCACGTTCTAGTGTTTCATTCAAATTCGATTTGCACAAATGGTTAAAGTTAATCGGCGTAATGATTTATGATTTATTTGATAAACGTATTTATTTTAATTGTCTTGTTCATTAGGATTCAGATTATAGATATTTATATAGTCTATTCCGATTTTCACGTTCTAATGTTTCACTCGAATTTGATTTGCACAAATGGTAAAAGTTAATCGGCTTAAATGATTTATGATGTATTTGATAAACGTATTTTATTAATTGTATTATTCACTAGAATTCAGATTGTAGATATTTAATATTCAGATGTTATTATTATATTGATTTAACTAGTTCAACTTAGGGAAGTTTAGCTTAGGGAAGTTATACTTAGGTAAGTTCAAGTTAAGAAAGTTTAGAAGGCTTTATGACGATTTTAATTTTTGAAGAATTATAAATTTTAGAAACACGAATTTAATTTATTTTCTACATATTTAATAAAATGTCGCAAAACGATTAACAGTTTGTGAATTCTTTTTATTTTGAGATCTGTTAATTTAAAATTATTTTAATATTGACTCCATTTATTTCTGTGTTCCCCAGCGCCTGCACATCAATGTTCCCTCCAGTTTGGCCAAGCCTCAGCCGCAGCTGCAGTTGCAGCAGCAGCAGCAGCAGTTGCAACCCCACGTGGCCTTGGAGATTGAGACACTGCCCGCTCCGCTGCCCCAGCGAAGGCGACTCCTGCCCAAGCAGATATCCTGCACGGAGAGCGGGGCCGCTGGGGACTTTGGAGTGGGCGGACCGGAGGCCTACACCCGGTACTTCTCCCGCCAGAACACCTCGGAGGACAGCGCTAATGTGACGGTGAGCACGGTGTTGGCCCAGAGCGACTCCCAGTCGCTGCATGCCACGCCCAGCTATGCCAATACGCCCCCGGCAACGGGCAGCCGGATTCAGGAGCGCCGCAAGTCACGGAGCACTGGACTGCTGGCTGTGCGTCCGCCATATGGCATGGAACCCAGTGCCGTGGTGATCACCATGGAGGAGGGAAGCGAGGGCGAGGGCGGGCAGAGGGGCAGGACGAGGACGCTGGTGCCCGACAAGCTGCACCGGATGACCTCCACGTCGACGGGCTCCAGTGTGGCCGCCACCGGCTGCTGCAGTGCAACGAAGCCGAAGGAGAAGCCGGGCGAAGCCTTCAGGCCCTCCGCCATGGCCTCCTCCGCGGCAAGGACAACGGCCCAGAGCACGGGCAGCGACGACGAGTACCGCCGCCGGAAGCGGAAGTACAGTAAGTGACAGTGAGCCGATGTGGAGGAGGGTTCCTCAATCATTCAGTCCTTCTTACCCCCCATCTCATCCGTCTCCCCCAGAGCGCCATCATCGCTGCTCGGACCCCGCACTGGTCTATCCCACGCCCAGCGGTCTCCAGCACTACGTGCACGTGCTCGGCATCAATCCGGACACTCAGCAGCCCATGTAAGTTGGTTTAAGGGAAAGGAAAATCCTATACAGTCATAAAGCCACCGATATGGATTGGATTGTAAAGAAAAGTCTTTTATTATGGGGAAAGATACTCAGAGGATGTGAAAAGTAACCAACAAATTCGGATTTGTCCATTTACTATTTATACCCTTAGGAATTTAGACGGGGCATACATATTTCTGGGTTTATAAAACTTGATTTTTAAAATAATAAAACCGATAACTGTTGATAACCAAGCAGGCTTTAGAATTTTATTTTCATTTCTTAGTGCTTACAAATTTCGTAACTTTAAATTCTTAAACTTTTCATTCCGAAACCAATAGGTACACCAAAAAATGTACCTGCAATGTGGTCCTAAAAAACTATAACATTTAAAATTGTTGTTCTAATGGGGTCTGTTAAGACGTTATGGGATTGGTATGACATTATATAGTATTAAATTATTTTTAAATGATATACCTACTAAGCTCTTATTTTTAATACCATTAGTTTACATTAATCAAAGCTATCTGGCATTTAGTCAATTGAATTATCTACGATTATCAGTACCTATGTTCACAATGAAATATAGTCTTAATTTTCTTTTTTGTGGCTTAAACCTATGTTAATGGTATTTACCAGGCAGTTCATTAAAACATTAATCAAGCTAAATTGAAAAGCCATTATATTTAATAGCCTATAGTAAAATAATCCTTATATTAAAGATTATGTCTGCAAATAGGCCATGTTTTCAATGCCGATGTAATTTATTATCCGCAGACAATGCCCGTACGGTGAGGACTCGCCCTGCGACCTGCAGCTGGACATGGACGTGGACTTGGACCTGGACCTGGATGCCGATAAAATCGACGACCTTGAGCAGATGGTCCCCAGTGGTGGTCATCAGCGGCATCGCCGCAAGCATCGGTGAGTGGGCACTGGATAGCCCCCAAAATCCTTTCAGCAAGACACATTGTCCTTGATGGCCAGGCCAAAATCGGCTTGAGTTGAGAAATGATCGGAGGGCACATAAATAATAGCGCATTTTCGGGGGGCCAACTGATGGATGAATGGTTGCTCAGTTGGACAGAAAGACAGGACAGACAGACAAGCTGGACAGGTGCAGCAACAAAGGAGCGGCTGTGTCCTTGGGCTGCACTAATAAATGTCCTGCCGATTGGCGATTGCGATTGCGATGGCGATGGCGATGGCCAAATGTGCCCTAATGCGTTGCCCTCCTTTTTTCGCCGCCACCACCCACATTTCCCTCGGGAGCCTCGCGTGACGTTGAGCAGGCAAAAATTGATTGACAAGCTTTGTGCGACTATTTTGTGGGGCGGAGAGAGCAGGGAGATTTGGGTGGTTCAGTGAGTGCATGGGTGGTTGGGTGGCTGGGTGGCACAATGGCATTGACTGTCAGCAGGACGATGTCTGATGTTGTTTCTGCAGCCGCTCTCCATTTTCCGCCCATCGCCAGGAGCAACTTCCGTTGCAAAAATCGAGGCAGGTTGTTTGTAGCGAACTCTGCTGCGGTGCAGGGGAAATTGCGGCAGCTTTGTAATGCGGAAGTTTTGCAAAACCCAAACGGAAATAGAGCAAATATGTTTAAGCTTCTGTTGCAGGTGGAGCCCACATATGTGTGGCCGAAAGGAGGTGGATGCTCAGGCGCACAAGCTAAACAGATTAATGTGCAACATTTCTGCCAGAAATAATCATTAAATAGCTTTAAAAGCAATGCCATGTTACTGAAACTCTATTTCCTCTTACAAGCACTTAATCAATTTATGCTTTTTCCAAGCCAACAAGTAATTTCCTTTGAATACCCTCTTAAATCCATTTATCCAGGGGAAGTTTGGCTCTGTAATATTGCCCTTAATACAGCTTACTTTATTTACAATCTTCAGGCATCGCCACAAAAAACGACATCGGCACAAAAAACCCAAAATTCTGGTGCAGGACTTGGACACTGAGGTTGTTAAGGTGGGTATTATCTAAAAATAAACTGAAACTTCAAATAGATTATATATTATTTTTATCCTGCCAGGTAATCGATCCTCATGATCTGTCTCAGCGAGCCCGCTGGACAATAATTGCCACCGCCTGTTTATTGCTACTCATGTGCCTCATGTTGATTGGGGTTACTTTGCGTATGGCTCCGATTATCGATGATATGGGTAAGTCCCCCAAGATAAATACCCAATAAGTTTATTGCCCGTATACCGAAGTGCTTTATCCCAAATAAATGATAGTACCTAGTGTGCCCTGCTTTAGATATTAAGCGAATGTAACTCTAATGGAACAAGTTATCAGACGTAGTATAAGATATATAATACATGAAATGCGCCTCGTTATTGTCCTAGAACTGCAGCAGTACAAACATTGCGAATATAATATTACATTGATATTATATTCAATAGTGACTTAAGACCTTATCGATAAAGATCACCTATTTAATGCGTTGTGTGTTGTGTTTTGCTTTATTATATTTCAAATTTAGAATACCCAACGAAATGTAAGTACAAGTACACAAAGCAAAAAAACCCAAAACTTCGGTTATGTGAAGATGGTATAATTCTGAGTTTTCTAGGGTTATAAATAATGTTCGTTATGGTTATTGAATGTTACTGTGTGTTTTTTATTGGAACCCCCTTTTAAGGGACCTCCATGTGTTGCTGTTAGAAAAGCTAATCTGTTTCATTGGTGGCGCTGTAGAAAGGCTTTGGGTAAAGCTTTCGAGTCCTGTAAGCTTGTGTTATATTTTCAGGACATAGCTTTAAGTTTGGGACATTTTAAGCTTGAGTTTGTTTTGGCGAAGCTTGAGCCAGCTTTTCGAGTGTTTTTTTTCGGGAAAGCTTCTTTGGGTGTCACTCAATCTCAATGTTTTTTGCAACACCCGCCCAACTTTGCCACCCCCTGCTGCTGCGTTTATGTGTGCCATTGTGTTGCATAACAACGCAGTAACGGACGCGGAACTAGGACAGTGTATCACATGTTGCATCTCACACAAACACAAAACAGCCAGCCAGGCATTAGTATTGGTCCCTGTGTTTTTGGCATAGATTTGCGAGCTGCTTGATTTGCCTTGCCATTGATGTTGTTGTGGATGTTTGATTTTGGGTGGGTCGCAGTGCCCCTCCTTCGTAATTATCAATCATCAATCATGCATGCCTTGGCTCACCTTCATTAGAGTGGCGAGCGATATAATTAGATGTTGATTAGAAGACGTTTCCCCCTTTCACACGCCCCCTTACCACCGATAAGGCGGCACCCCCTGCAATGCAAACTTTTGGCCGTAAGGCATTGAAATGTCAACAGGCAGCAGCTGCGACTCCTGCTTCTAGTTCTAGTTATATAGTGCCTCTATCGCTAGGTTTGGATCCCGTACCACTGGTCCCATGGCCCTCCTCCAAGGCGACGCACTTAATCGGCAGCCGCGATGGTGGCAGCACAATGGGGCTCACCGCAGCGTGACAGGGGCTGGTTAAAACTAATTTGTGTTGGCACGGCGGGGCACAGTGGATCAAAGTGCCCAAAGAGTTCATACAGATTTTTAATCACCTATTAAAAAGTGTAAGAAAATTTCGTGATATAAGATGACCTTTCAGTATTTTCCAACGTTACAATAATATAGCTTACATTAAAATGGAGCTTCTGTTTCAGGGAAGGCAATCGTAGATCTAAAAGATTTATACAGTTCTTAAGAGCATTCAGTAATATAAGAAGATCTCTTAAAATATAACTCTTATGACATGGATTTCTTATCACTTTACCCTTTTGTTCCAAAAAGAACATATGCTTTCCAAAACCATATAATCAAAGCCTTAAGAATATCTGAGTTTTTAAGAACAAGTTACAAAATGGTTACTTACATATATAGCACTTTTGGACCTATACATTCCCATATTCAAATTGCCAAGCTGAAGATGTGTATAATAAATGGGGTAACAAACCACCATTTGTATTAACTTATCAGTAACTTCAGCTTACTCCTTAGCTTTTTAAGTGTTGCATAAACACACGCAATCAGGCGACTGGGACAACGACTCAACATAAAAGCTGTATATGACTTTTCTAGTTTTCCAATTCTTTCTTTGGAATCCTTTAGCCAGGAAAACATAAAGAGACATAATCAGATTAAGAGACTGTTTCCAAAGGGGAGGATGATAATGGCTTTCAGGTAACTGCAGCTGCGACATAAAAAAGATGGATAGAAATGGCACTTCTGGCCTTCAGAGGAATCAGGGGAAAATGAAGATAGAAATAAAAACTAGTGCGCAGGGGAAAAGCGAACCGGTGACCTTGGGCAAATAAAACGCCTAGGTAAGGCCAAGAACGTGGAATCGGAGGACATAAGTTTGTTAATATCCCATTGAAGATAATAGCCTGTATATCGGGTATCTCAGAGGTGTGAACCACAGTTCGTTGGGAAAACGCTAACTGCTGAATGCACGAGCGCCCTTCTTGGCCAAAATGGCGGCCAGGCGCTGCATCCTGTTCCTGTTCTTGTTCCTCCTCCAACCAACCCACCCAACCAGGTCGCCCCCCACTGCTTTTCCCACCGCTTTTCCCACCGCTTTTCCACCGCTTTTCCTGCTGGTGCGTTCATTGTGAGCGCCGAGTGGAAAATGTGGAATGCTGCTATGCATTTCTTAAACCAAATCAGCGGCCATGACAAAGCAAAGGAGTCGGTGTGTGTGCCAGCGTGTGTTTGTGTGTGTTTGGGCCCTGCCCTGCTGTTTATCTTGGCTTTGTGTTGGCACTCGAAATGGGCGAAAGGAAAACACCACCCAACACCCACCACCCACCACCACCCCCACCAACCAGTTGATGACGCTGAAGCCTCTTGCTCTTGACTTCGACCCGGCGAAAAAGTTTTCCACTATGCACGCAATTTCCTCGGGAGAAAAGGGAACCATAGTTTGTTGCTCTGCTCCTGGTTTTTTTTCGTGTTTTTCCTGCTGCAATTCTTGCAGCTTTGATGCACGGAGACAAAAGCATAATTACTCCATTCACTTATTGCTATTTGCATTTTTTATCGTATTCTTTGCTAATGAATACTCGCTTTTCTAGTATTTTCTAATTTATAAATATTCATAATCTCTGGTTGGAAGGTGTTTCTAAACTCAGAAATGGTTTCAAACTGGTTCTTATAAGGTGTTCTGAAATAAATAAATCAGCAATACAATTTTTTTGTAGACTTTACCAATGATTCGCTTTAAAAGGGAATTAAATTAATCAAGAACTGAGTTATAAGGAATGGAAATCTCGATACCTTCTATTTAAATACAATATTAAATGTTTCCAAATGTAATGTATACAAAAATGAAGTTTTACATTTAATGAAGTTCAAACTTATGACTTTGCTTTTAAATTCTGACTAAACCAATATCGATTCCAATATTAAATTCCTTGAAAATATAGACAACAGATTTCTTTCATGAAAATAAGTTCCAAACCAATTGTAATCCCAAATTAAGAAAGATCTTGCTATAAAATAACGACTATTTAATATTTAAATCAAGGTGTTTATTTTATTTTTCTCAGCGTTTTTGTTTATTTGATCATTGTTTTTCTGTTGACTTCAAAATGCAATATTTCTAGATATAGAAAACCGAACTTATTTTTATCTTGATAATAAAATATTCCTTAAAATAATGACTAATTAATGGGAAAGCAAGGTGATATTAGTTTTTCTCAGCGTTTCCATTGTTATTTTTGTTGTTCTGTTGCGGTTTGCCACGCTGATGTTGTTGTACCGCCCGAAGGCAGCGGGCGCCTTGTCATTTTTGGATGCTGCGCGTGGATGGTCTTGCTGTTCCGTTCTGTCCTGTACTGTTCTGTTGTTTCATTACTTTGCTGCATAAAACAAATGCGCATAGTTGCCGTCAGTTATTATCCACTTGCAGCGGCACTTTGTGGCAGCCACCATGTCACCATTTCACGGGGAATACGCCGGAGTGCCGGGGAATACGGGGATGACGGCGGGAATCATGGCAACAATGCGCCCCCTTGGCCAGAACGCGTTTTCTTTTGGCTTTGGCTTTGGCTTTTGGGAGCTGCGAGCTGCGAGCTGCGAGCCGGCTTAATCAACGCGATGACGACGACGTTACTGCGAGCCACAAAAGGCATTCCAATTGCCCAGGCTCATCCGCAGAGAGGCTCAGTTCCAGGCTCCGGGATCCAAAGGACCTAGCCACGGACAGGCCACGCCCCCTTTGCTCCTCCTGCCCCCAACTCGGCCGCAAGTATTTCTGGGACCAAATTATTTTCATAGCTTTAGCTTAAAAGCTGAATATGCCGCTGCCCCTCTGGCGCTGGCAAAGAATTAAAAATATTTACAGTATTTCCAAGTGAGCTGCACAAAATAAAACCCAACCAAACAAAAACAGCATGTTTTAAACAAAAGGAACGCAGGAAACTTGGACGAGCATGAGACAAAGGAAATGTCATCTCTGTGTGTGAGGGATCGTGTGTGTTTGGTAGCCACAACGGGGTGGAAAAATGCAAAGTATTCCAAACAAATATGATAAACCATAATTCCGCTAGCGACAGATATAAATATATAGCCCAGCTTGGCAGGACCAGAACTTTTGTCATTTTCATTTTCCCCAATTTGGGCAAGAACCACAGGCAAATATCGACAGCTCTACAAAGGCTTACGCCATGGACAGGGATTAGAACCGACCGACCGACCGATAGACCAACCGACCCACCGACCCAACTTTTCATGATTAATGATGCTTTGAAAAGTTCGCCTTTGCCCTTGCCACATTTCCCGATTTCCCATTTCCCATTTTCCCGGCGTGCGTTTGTTTCAGTCAACTGTCGGCAGTCGGCAGTCATCACATCATTCCAAAGCGATTTCCTTGATGATGGCCCATGGTTGTGGCTGTGTACCATGCTCAACCCATTTAGTTTTGCCCCGCTGCATAACTGATTTAATCAGACTCAAGCTGCATTCAAAAGTATTTTAACAGCATTTAGAGCAATGCGCTTTTTAATAGACCAAAGCCCTACGACCCACTCGACTCTCTGCGGCCCAACTTAATTGCTTGCCGGGGCCAAAAGTGAAAAGTGAAAAGCGAAACAGCGACCAGCAGGCTGATTTTGGCAAGCTGCCCTGTCTGCAGCCGAAAATTAAATTGGCCGTGTTTAAACAGCAAATTTGGACAAAATTAGGCGGGGCTTTTATCGTTATCCAAGGGCCGCACAAAGGCCGAGTGGCCTACCAGAGAATTATTCAGAACTCAGCTAGCCAGTGAAATGAAGCAAAGCCACAGCCGCAGCCACAGTCATTTGAGGTAATACCCTGTAATAGACCACTACCCCAAAGTTTGGACCACAAAGCATCTACCCGGCCAAGGATAACCGAATGCGAAACCCCGAACATGCGGATGGAAGCCCTCCCAGTCCATCAGTCTGAATCCGTAATGAGATGAGAACTTACGCAAATATTTGGCAATTATCTAGTTTTGGTTTCGGTGGAGGCCCTGAGTAACCAGAACACTGGACCCTCAGACCCTCTCCACGAAGCATCCTCACCGGCATTATTATAATGACTGAACATCGCAGCAAATTAGTCAAAACAAAAAAGTTGCTGGTGCGAATGAGAGTGCGGAAAAAACAGAAAAGTAAACTCTGGGGATCAGGACGAACATTGGGATACACTACCAGGATAAACTAAATTATAACAAATTACCAGAACTCAGAAAAGTGTGAAAAGTATTTGATATATCTAGCTGTTTTATACACTTTGCTGAAAGTAATCCTTGTAATCTCGTGATATAATCACATATCATATAATAAACCTCTATTATTTATTTTTATTTGGTATACCAACTATTTTAGACTTTCAAAATATTATATTATATTACATTTAGAAATACTTTAAATTAGATAATTAAAAGTGATCTTAAGTTATACAAAAAGTTTATTTTATTTAACTTCCTTTATCAAAACAATTGAGTTTAAAATACAAGTTTCTAAAATTAGGTAGCACTGTTTCTGACACCCCTAAAGGACCCCATCTTAGGATGTCAACCATAAATGGTCCTGCCAACAAGGACTGCCCTGTGATAAGGGGCGGTGGTGGCGGGGGGCGTGGTCAGGAAAAGTTGAGTGGGCATCGGGCGTGTCAAAAGACAAACACCAAAACTGCTCGCTGCGGGTCTCTTTGTGTGTGAGTGTGCTGTCTCTGTTTGTTGAAATGCGAGTGTCTTTTAAATACTCATTACAAAATTAATTCGGGAAAAGTTTTGATAAAAATCCTATTATAAACATAAATAAATAGGTTCCCCGGAGAAGGCAGCGTGAAAGCGGGGTCAAAGGACAAAGCAGTGACTGGGCAAACATTTGTGAGTAAGCAAACTGGAAAGGAAAAGGGGCTGGGGAGGTGAAAGGTAGTGGCAAAGTCAAAGTCAAACAATGAGGCAGCCAGCTGTAAAGGACGAGAGCTGAGACTTCATTAGTGCTCATCCACAATGTATGCTGGTGTCGTCTTGGTCCCGGAATTTCGGCCTCTCGGTCCTTTGTACGGCCACCCATATCCTTTCTTGCCACCGCGTCCTGGTGAAATGGTTATGTGCCATCATGGTTTCGCCACTCGCTTGCGGTTTTTTCAGCGGCTCAGTCCGCGGCTATAGGCATATTCAATATTCATATTTCGCTGCGGCAGAGACATTTATTACCCTTAAAACCCGCACACAAGTGCACTGGGAAAATCTTTGTGAAGTTCTTTAAAGCTTTGAATAAAAAAAAAAGTTCAGAAAAATAAAGTATATGTTAATATTTAAAGGTTTAAAAAAGGTTTTTTGTTATAGTTTATTATAAATCTCTATGGATTCTTTGATATTTTTCTTTAAATTAACTATATACCTATCTTATTATTATATTTACATTATTTTTTACCTTAAGAAAAGTTATATAAGTATCTTTTTGAACAAAAAAAATTATTAATAATATTAACATTATCCATATTATTTGGTAGTTACTAGTTTTCTTCAAGGGTTCCTTGATATTTAACACTAGAAAAAATATATCTTTGGACATTTCAAGTTTATCTCAATGATCATTGGATAAATAGCCTTTTTTCCTGTCTACACACCTTGATATGGCTACACCTGACAGGCGAAAAGTGGGCGGAGACCATTGCCTCTTGGTAAACTAGAAAGTCTTGTTTCTGTTTGGCCAACGTTTGGCAAAATTTAATCTCAAACTGAAACCGAAGACATTTTGCCAGTCAACGCTCGAAAATGCCGAGCGAAATTGCTTTGCCCGACCGTGCCCCCAAGGTGATTTGCATAGTACAGGTGAGGGCGAGGGGCAAGTGGCTGAGTGGGTGTATGTTTGCCCCTGTTGCCGCCATATGAAACGGGTACTCTAAGTCAAAGAATGGTAGCACATGGGTGTTGGCGTACCGGTTGTTTTCCAACATACGCTCAAATTAAAAGGCCGAATAAAAATAGAAAATCGAGTTTGAATAATAGATAGTTTACTCTGCCTAGACAAACCTTATGAAAGTATAATAATGCCAAAGTTAATTGATTTCGGGTGCTTTATGGTGTGTGAGTCGAAACAAATTGAATGAAGAACATTAAATATTTTGGGACAAAAGGTTTCTAAGACAACGACAGGAGAAATGCCTTGGCCTTGCTTGGGCAACATTTTAAAAAGATAGAACTGCTTTCAATGTAAGCATAAACTTACCAGTTATTTGCTATTTAAACGGAAAGTTTTTAGTTTCAGTTGCATGTGATTCTGCCTAATTGTTTTAAGTTTGTTTTCCCAATTGCCTACCTAAATAATAGTTCCTCCTTTTCTATTTGTTTTGTCCAATATATCTGCGATCAGACGTGACACTTGCAATTAAGGCATTATAAATCAGATTCGAGCGGCGCAAATAACAAATTCATTTAATTACCAAATTACAGAACGATTTTACAAATAGTTCCCAAGCATGAGCGTTAATTGCCCAAGATTGTAATCTTTCGGGGCCAACTATGGGGTTATAGGGCCTATATAAGGCCAAAGGTGGCGACAATGTGTCAGTATCAAATTCAACATGAAGCAGTTCGCATTGTTCAGCATTTTCCTCCTGATTCTGGTTGTGGGATTGGTAAGCGTGGATGGGTTTTCAATCAGCCGCTTGGCCTAACGAGAGGTTTTCCAGGCCCAGATGCCCCAGCAGGTCTCTGCCCAGGGCCAAAATGGACAGCAGCAGCAGGGCCAGCCGCCAAGACCGCCAAATGGCAATGGAAACGGCAACGGCAACCAGCCGGGTGGACAAGGACAAAGTGGACAAAACAACTAGGACAACTAGGAACAGAATGTTTCTGGGGTGGACACACCTCCTGGGCACTTTCCCGGTTACTTAAATAAACACTTTATTCAGCAAACTTAAAACTTCGTCTCTTGAACTTCCTAAGCTTTTCAAAGGCAAGCTACATTTTTATGGGACAGGGAAATGGAGGAATTTAAATGTAGAATTTAGAACTATTAAAAAAATTTAAACTGAAAAAGGGAATAGCATAAGAAGCGTAGTTTCATACGGTTTTTTAGTGTCATCAAAATATTTATTGAAAAGGAAAATGTAGAGATTTAAATTCCGAATCTTAAAGAAATTTTAAAGCTTGGAAACTTCGTTTCTTTACCATCTTAAATGTAGGAATTTCAAAGTAGAATACTATGAAAATCCGAATATGGATTGGGAAAACGGTGGTAAGCGTAGAATTCTTAAAGAAATTATTATTATAACTTCCTAAACTCTTCAGGCGAAGCATAATATTAATGAAAAACAGAAAATGTAGGAATTTAAATGTATAGTTAAGAAATATATTTTTAAGTTTCTTGAAAGAAAGGTAATGGTTAGAAAACTTTGTGTTTGATCTTACTATGGGTTTTAAGGGAAAGCACTTTAATTTTTAAAAAAATAAACAGAGAAGTTTATATGTCGAATTCTACAACATTTTTCAATCGATTGGAAAACTGTCATGGCTAAAAGAACTTCCCTCATCAATCAAAAACATTGCAAAGCATCGGAAAAGTCTCGTGGTTTAGCTTATGTGACTAAAGAGAGTGTTTTGTTTTACACAAGTTCTTAGAGCTTTATTGTTTTAAAATTGTTATAACATTTTTTTCATCTCTGGCCCGGCTTTGTGTATTTCCACTCTGTCTGGGCCAAGCCGAGTTGGCAAACTTTATTAATAAAGTGCACAAATTATGAGCATGAAACTCATGCCACGCGAACATGGCCGTAGGTCCATTCCAGCTGATGAGGAAGGAAGGGGGTTGGTGTTAGGGTTACGAAAAGAGGGTCTGGCTACAAAGCGGCAACTTCTTCGGCGACTTGTGTTCTACATTCTGTGAAAATGCAAATGCTTATTACTCGTTCCAAAGGAGCCGAGCCGCCAGGCAATGCTTAATTGCATTATGGCGCCCGGAGTTTGGATGCAGCTAACCTTCTGTTCAAAGTCCCCCTCGCCGTAACCCCTTTACACCGCCCCATCACCAGGAAAACACCTTCTAAGCCGCTCTACTTGAGCAACTGCTGTGCAGCCATGTGTGAATGCTCTTTGGAGAATAACCGAAAAAGTTTTGCTATCGCTATCAGTCAAGAAGTGTATATGGTTACCAGAATGGGAGTTGGTCTCTCAGGGAAAAAGTAACACTGTAAAGGGCATAGATATTTTTTAGTTTACATTTAAATAAATGCTTCTTTTGACTTAGTTTGTTACAATATATATTTATTTATATATCACATACCAAAATGCAATGCTAAAAGCTACAAGGACAAGGTCCTATTAAATGTACTACTTAAAATTGGGGGAAAATATTTTCGACCACGTCCTTTTTTATCATATCTAATATATGATATCATATGATATTATTGTATCATATTTGGGAGGGATACTGGTTATTAAAATGGGTATTAATTTGGTAGCCCTATGAATACAATCTAATAGAATGCCTTTGGAATGAAAGAGTCTCAATCCAACTACTCCACTTTTAAGACAAACTCTTGTCCTAGGACTTCCGTATATTTTTCTAAAAGTAAACAAAATGTAAACTCTTTTTCCTCGGTGTGCAAAAAGAAAGAAGCCCATGCTCAATTACCAAATGCTGATGAAAACTCAGAGCTAAGTTGAATAGCGAGGCAGAGCAAGCGGCCCAAGCAAAGCGAAGCGCATTCCCTTTGTTCGATGGCAAAGTAATACATATCTCGTCATATATAATTTCCGCTGCGAAGGATATCCAATGTTCGGGAACGAGGACGCAGCTCATCATCGTCATCGGAATGGAGGAGCTTCCTGGGGAGTCCACGACCCACTCATTGGGCGTAGGCGAGGCGAGGAAAACAAATGGAGCTTTCACTCCAGTTTCACTCCATGCCAATGCCACAAGGAGCAACACGTGACGACACAGGACGAGTGAGTTGCGCTCGACTTTTTGAGATTTTCTAGGGCCAACAGGAGCCAAGGATGTGGATGTGGATGTGGCTGTAGCTGTGATGTGTCCAACATGTTGCTTCCCGAGCGCAGGACACGAACACGAACACGAAAACGAACACGAACACCGAAACACGAGTCACGAAGCGAGTCCTGCCCACCGAGCCGAAGGACGAAAGTGCCGAGCTGATTGCTGGCCGAGCGATTTTAGCCACGAGCTGATAAAGCCGCAGCTTCTCTGCTGGTCTACAGGATAGCCACTCGGTCAGTTGAACATTTTCCATGCTGTGATCAAGTTGTCTTTTCCTCTGAGCGCCGAGCGCTGTGCACGCCTTGGACTTGGAACGTTTCGAAATCGGGCTAAAGAAATATTCAAACAAAAATATATATATTCACAGAAAATATTCAAGAAATATTCTAGAAATTCGAGTTACGAATATAATAATAACTACAAGTTTAGTGTGCAATTTCCAAGCAGCAAGTGCGTGAGCCAAGTGCAAATGGTTAGCGGAATTGTCGTGGCGAAATAGGCGTGGCAGTTTGGTGGGTGCGGCTGTCCTCAGCATGCACTTGTTGTTCCCCCAGTTGCAGTTTTTTACCAAACTGCAAACTAGCTGCAACTTTCCCACGATAATTGCTTTACAATCGCTTGCGCTTGCCTCCAAAATGGCTGTGCTTCAAATATCACATATCAAGTTTCGAACTCAAGTGCTCACGCTTATATTACCTTACAGCAAAGCCAACAAAATATACAAGACATACAAAAAAAATGTTGAAACGACGGACTGACTTACATGCATTTTATTAGTAAATAACAAATACGAAACGAAAAAATATCAATACAATTGAAAAACACCAACGGAAAAAACAGCCGCAAACATTTTTGTAAATTAAATCATATAAAAAAGGTTTCGACAGCAAAGAAAAACAAACAAGCGGGTGGAAATCGCATGCTGAAAATCGCCCATAAAATGCATTAATAAATAAACTATGGTCAAAAGAATTTAATCAAAAAAAAAAAACAGGAAGGCAAATCCAATGAGGCAAAATAATTAAAACCGTAAGCAAACACAGGAAGTAAAAACATCGCCCATATCCTACCGCAAAATTGAAAATATCCGGTGAACCGAGGAGAAAAGGGCCGAGAAAGAGAAGGGGCGCTGCGAAAAGAAAGAGAGGGAGCCATGAAGTCGACGAAGGCTAACCCCAAGCCCGGAGTGGATCCCAAAATTGTAATGTACACAAGAGAAAGAAAATATAACGATTTGCAAATAATTGAATTCATATTACACACTTTCAAGTCCACTGTCAATAGAAAAAAAATCACTCACAAAGAAATCACCAGCTCATGCGACATTGCAACAAGAAAATCGCAGACTCATTCGCATTCCTCACAAAATCTTTATAGAAGAAAAGTCATTTTTCAAATATTTTTGGCCCATTGCTCTGCGTTTTTCTTGTCGCGCGTTGCTTCTAAACAATTTCACATTGTCTGACTTTGGCACAAACAATGGCATTTGTAATTTCCATATCATCAGCCCTCACTCTGCAATCCCCCCCACCCCACACCACTTTCTCTCTGTCTGTCTTAATGTATTATAATCACAATACCATTTTTATCTGTGCATCTCTCAAGTCCGCCAGGATTCACAGAATTGAGTCGAGTCAAGACCCCATGCTGTATCGACCCCTAAAATAACATAACACACTACGAACAAATATGTATTTATGGGGGTAACAGGTACCAGCCACCCATAAAGTCATACATTTTAAGCCTATTGATTTACCCTCATTCGATTGTGAATTTGGAAACGTATTTGCCATTGGTAATATTTAATTGCTGTGATTTAGACGCGTCCGGGCCCTTGGCTCATGTCTAATGAATTATAATTTAATTATGCATAAAGTAATTGCAATTTGGGTGGGCTCTGCGGCAGCATCAATTATTGTTTATGAGTGGTCCGGGCAATAATGATAATGATGTGCTGATTATTTAATTGCATATCAGGAAGACATCGGGAAGCATTTTTGGTGTTTTAATTACCATTTGCTCGGTTTTTGCTCTCGATGAAATTGCAACTTCGAAATGAGTTTAAAAGCAGACATTTCTTTAAAATGTGCAAATATGTTGATTGCTTTTTATGCGCAGTTTTTACTCCACCGAAATATGTGAGATTTTTTAAGCAATTTAATTTACTGCATGCTTGCACTCAATTACATTTATAAAAAACCATAATTGTTTAACTCTTTCTTAATGGGAAATATTATTATATCATTTTCACACTGCCACTGCACTCATTAACATTTATGAAAATATTATTTTAAAATCTATAAAAATGGGAAAATTGTTCAATCATTTTTGCACAGCTTAGAGAGTTGGAATGCGAATTTATTTTAAGTATTTGTTTCATTTTAAGTGTAAATTAAATCCTTTTACAAATTTTAAAGGCTCTACTGAGTACTCATGCTGACTGCAAAACTGTAATCTGCCCAAAGTGTTATGAGCCATATTCATTTTAACTCGCATACACCCATTGAAGTTTGTTACACATTTTTATGTTTTATGGTTTATTTTAATTTTGCTTTATCCAAAACTTGCTGCTGCACAGCCCCATCGAAATTCGGGCAAATAAAGTCGAATCCTCTGCCCGCACATAAGTACGCCATATAATTTGCATAAGTGCTTGTCATGCATGTGGCATCGACTCAAGGGAAAAAAGGACCCGCTGCAAGCCGAAAGTTCAAATGGGTCACACAAAGTCCCATAAAAGTGGGTTAGCATTCGGGGCGGCGTAAATCAAAGTTGCCAAACTGAGCTGAAGAGACAAAAATAGCCATGGAGATAACCGATGGGGGAATCCCGTCTCGAGGGGAATAACAAGTCGATTTGGACCATGTCCAAAACACTGGCAATTATGTGGGGAAAAACAGTCAATAAAACATTGTAATCACCGACGCTATTTTCGCTACATGTTCATGTCAATTTTCATATAGCATTCGCTATGGTCAGCAATTAAAATTGGATTTAACCAAATAAACAACAAATTAAGTGGGCGTATTTTAATTAGCCAAATCCCCGTTTAGGCCCGGAGTTGGGATGACATCGGGTTTTTGGCGCAAAATCGTTGTTAGTTCCAGTCACGTTTCATTGTTTACTTGCTGTGTGCTGTGTAATGTATGCTGTATGCTGTGTGTGTGCCGGCCCGTATTAATTAATGCATAGAAATGTGTATTTAAGCATATTTTAAAAATTAATTAATGTAATTTCTATTAAAACGGTCTATCTACCCGGTTCCCTTGCCCTGCAGCCAGCCACTTCTGTGATAAACCTTTCAACAAGCCGCACAATTTTAATTAGAAAAGTTTCAGCACGGCCCTTGTATGCTCAGCCGAAAAATATGTTATATATACAGATGGAAATATAGCTTTGGCAAACAGAAGACCGATTAAAGCGGGACACTTTTTTCCGTTTTTCCTTCTCAGGGGGCCAAAGAGGTGGAATTGCCGTGAAAGCGGTTGAATTTCTGCATTTAATTTGAATTAGCATTTGTACACGGAATTTTCAATTTGAATGTTTGGCCACTCTTTGGCTTTACTAACTTGCAAATAGTGAATTTAGTTGGCATTTTGGCATAAATTGGCATTTTACGCACTTTTTGTTGCCTACATTTCGGCGGAAAAATGTTATTGAATTTGTAATATCAGTTTTGTTAGCGGTGCCACAGAAATCGCAATGGTTTTGAAATCACTTTAAATATTATTTTTGGGTACCTAAAAGTATGCAGTGAATAAAGGATAGTTGTTTTCCTGAATAAATTTATGGCACTTGTGGGCTTAAAATATATTGTTCCATACTTTCAGACATCTGAAATGATTTCTGTGACCTTTTTGTTACAATAATAAATGTGTGGCCACTCTTTGGTTTTACTAAATTGTAAATAGTGCAATTAGTTAGAATTTGGTATAAATTCACATTTTAGTTTACGCACTTTTTGTTGCCCACATTTAGGCGGAACATGTTATTAAGTTTGGAATATAAATTTTATTAGGGAAATCACAGAAATCACAGGGGCTTAAAATCACTTATTAATTACATTTTGGGGTCCCTAAAATAATGCAGTAGATAAACAACAATAAAATATATTGTTGCATACTTTTAGACACCTAAAATGACATTTTGAGTAATTTCAGTGGCACCCCTGTATAACTTTTGATATTTCACAACCTATAGTTTAGTGTTATATAGCTTTAAGGTTTCTTTTTTGACATATGTTAACCATACACCCTGAGGTTCTGAAAAATTGTTAGTGCGGGTAAAAAAATGTATGAATTAAGACTTTTAATTTGCATTGTCATTTGAATTTGATATTTTGCATATCAATTTAGATTGAATAAATGGTTGCCGGGAGCTCAACAGCTTTAAGGACTTTTTTGTTCGATTATTAACCATTCGCCCTGTGGTACTGACCACACAATACACGACAACAACGGCAGAAAAAGCAGTTCAGCGAAAGTACTGCCGGCACTTTTATCTTTCTCCTACCGCCCCATTTCGCCCACTTTTCCTACTGCTGCTGATGGAATTATTGTGTGCTCAACGAACCGCAAACAAAATCTGTGCTCAGCTCCTGGTCGTTTTTGTTCCCCATTTTTAATACACATAAAATGCTGCTTTTTTCGCCACTATTTCCAACTTGTGCTTGGCCCTCTTATCTTGGCCACAATTTGCTGAAAAGTTATATATCCCCATTCCAGGTTAATGCCCGATTTGGCCGTTTATGCCGCAGGTGCGATTCCCGTTTATTAATCGCTGCTCATTTGTTTTTGGGAAGCCAAGCCAAAGATGCTGACCAACGCAGACCAATAAATCAAATGTCAGAGACAAAAATTAATTATGCCCGCAATGGCTATGTGGTAATTTGTTACATAATCCAAGGTGCCAGCTCCCACGCCCGCACAATTTGTCAAAGATTTTGTTTGGCATCAGAGAGAAAGTCATATACTTAGCTAGTTGCAAAATGTAATAAAACAAATTCCGTCCGAGCGACTTGGCCTCCAACTGAATTCAAATCTCGGCAGCGGCAGTTGGAAGCCCAAAATTCCGTAACAGGCAACATTCCGCAATCCAAAGGGGGGACTAAAGGTATACGGATAAGGGCAGGGGCTTCGAGACCGCATTCCACCTGATCCCGATCCTGAAACCACCCAAAACTAGCTCAAGATGAGCCGCCCGGAGTCGGAAAAGGGCCGAGGGCCATTGGCTGGATGGCAAACAGAATGGCGTACATAGTTCGAGTAGCTATTTTTCAGCAACTTGTTCTCCACCCGAACGATGCTGCTTTGCTGCTGCATACTTTCAGTTAACAAATTCCGACTCCGGCTACCTGGGATATGACTATATCTATATATATGTATCTCCGCCCTTCCCAGCTGCCGTCATGGATGCCACACGCATGAGCTGCTCCTGCCGAGCTGCCTTTGTGGAATTCGCTCATGAATTTCATATCCTACTCCGCCTGCAGTGGCATCGGCCCGTGGCATGTGTGCATGTGCTTACTGCATCCGGAAAAGATTCCTCCGGGGCTGCCGGGCTGGGGAACCGTCAAAAACATGCTCGTATAACGCAAAAATCAAATGCCAACTAATTAGGGCTTAGGTCCGGAGATATAGAATGTTTCCAACTTTGAGTCGTGGCTTCAAAAATGTTATATTTGGGGGAGTATTGCTAGGGGCTTCTCGGGAATATTTTCAATACATTTTAATAATATATTCAAACAAAAGGGGGACTTACAATGTATACGTATGTTGTATTTCTGACTAACAAGGTTCTTAACTAGATGAAATGTTGTAGGTAAATTGTCGACCTATCGGTAGGTGAAAATTAATGTAAATAATAATGTAAAGTAAATTAATGAATCATGTGATAAAAGACGAATGTGTGTTCCCAAACAATTTAACTTCATGTTACACCTATCTGATAGATAACAAACCTAAACATGACTACCTAAAAAAAGGTAAAAGGTTAGTCGGAAATCATAACGCTTTAACAAATGTAGATTAGATATATATCAACAGAGGACATTTAAAAAGTTGCAGTTTTCAATATTAAACTAAGTTGGAGAACGCTCGAAAGTCCTTAGTAATGCCAAAAATGAGCCCGCTGTTTTAGTGACCTGTAAAAAAAATAAGTTACCATATAATACAGTCAATATAAGAAGCTCACCCAAAGCAGAAGTGGCAGATCCACCACGAACATGTAGCCAAAAATCCTGGCCGGTTTCTGGGCCCTCATGATCATCAATTGCCACAATCTTCTCTTCTTCGGCGCCATTTCTGGCCAATTGCTATGATCATAAACAGCCTGAGCTATTCCCAAACTCTGCTGCTTGAGGTATTCACCTCCATAGCAATACGAGCTTAGTTGAATGATACTGGCTAATAGAAAGGTGGCTCTAAAAGGCACCTGGGCACTCCAACCACTTTGGCTAAAACGAAAGGCCAACATGCAGAGTTGCAGGTAACTAAGCATGTATTTTACAAAAACGATTTCGGCGAAAATCGAACTTAGTTCCTTGGCCAACTCCAGAGCCAAACGATGTTGATGAATGCATTCGACCAGGTGAAAATCTTCCTGATTAGGAGGATCTCTCTTTTCCAGCTGTAACTCTAGTAATTGGAATTGAACCACCACATTGTGAATTAGCCAGGAGAACAAGGTGTCCGTTGCAATGGCCAACCAGGCGGCAGCTGCCACGCCCAAAACGCCCCAAAGGTAGATGGGCCAAAAGAATTTGGGATTCCGCTCATCCAGCCAGAAATTGAAGTCCATGGGTGTGGTTGGAACAAACTCACCAGTTCTTATGTATCCCCACAATCCAAGCAAAATGGGAGCAATGCCTGAGGCACATATAACACCGTAGGCAGCATTTCTGAAGGATCTCGAGACATACCTATCCAGTTGGTTCTCCCTTTCGATCTTTTCCCGCTGACTGGACGAAGCACTGGCCTTCTGGTTTAGCTTATGTAATCGGTGAATTAGGGAACCAATTCTTTTTCGCTTGGCCGCAATGGCTAGGAACTTAAAGGTACTCAGTGATCCTTGCATAAACACAGCAAAATTATCCGTGAGGCGGGTCAGATCGGAGAGATCCTGGAGAGCATACACAACCATTGGCCAATTGTGGGAAACCAAGGAGAGTACGAGTATCCCAGCCCAAATGGGATGTTTCAGCTTCAGGTGGGGAGTACCAGGATCGAATCCCACGATTTCCAGAGCTCTTCTCTGAACAGCAAAGTAACTAGAGTCCATGTTGGGTTTTCTACCGGTCTGTATTTTGTGTCCAACTTATATACATGCCACTGGGGCCGAACAAAAAAATACGAGGGACACACTAAGTGGAGGCCATTGCCGTTGCCGCCCCCGAAATTGTGCCTGAAATATTTATTCCTTCCGTTAACAGACTACGTGATACGGTTACCACTAACACTGGGCAGTGTTGTTTTGATTGGAAATATTCCCATTTCCATTTAAGGGGCGTAAATATCGTATTAACAAACAAGAGAAAAAGGGTGGAGACTGTCAGTTTATTTTCACTTTAATATTTAAATGTCTTTATATGACCACATGGGTTATAAGTATGGTCAATTTGTGATTAATATCTATACTCAATTGAGCCTTGACATCAGACCCAAAACATTAGATGAATATTCCATCATGCCAGGCCCCACACTAATTTTTAAAATTGCTATTAAAATTGTGTATTCAGTCCCAAAAAGTTGGCCCCGAAAATTCCCAGTAAATACACCAAAATGAAATTAATTTTTGGCTCGGGCAGCCTTTTGCCCAATTTGTTTGCCCTTTGGGTGGAAAATGTCGGGACCCATTTCGTGCGCACTTTATTCGCGGGTAATTCAATTACGGTGGAAATCAACAAGTAAATCTGTTTTCCAATTTTATCGCTGCGACTAGGCCAAATCGAGTGAAATAGCCTGGGCAGATTATGTAGAATCATTCTTTTTTTTCGATTAACTAAAGGGTTCTTAATTTTGGGTCCAGCTTAATGTCACCTTAAACGCTCTCAATTAATCTTAAGTGGGTGGGTGGCGAATAAAGACCTTTTCCAGGCATTTTGATAACCCTCATTTGCATTTCCCCAAACCCAGAAAGTTTATTCGGATCTGATTTTTGTACAAAGTTGAGGCCTCAAATGTTATACAACATTATAGCCTCTGGCAGATTTTTTAGGAAAGCAAGTTTGCTGAAAAAACAGGTTCCATAATTTATTTAGTTTGCACTGGCAACTTTTTATTTAAGTTTCATTAAGTTAAAGTCGTTATTGCAGTCGCACATTTTCATATGTTGGCACGTTTGCATGTGAAATTGATATTTTATGCAAAATATTTACCAAAAAGCCACAAAAGCAATAAAGCCAGCAGCTGCGAGAAAGAGAGGGGAGAGAAGAGGAAATGTGAGAAAGAGACGGGGAGTTTCCGGGAAAAGAGAGGGAGAATGGGGAAAGAGGAGACGAACACACCTGCTGCTCGATAATTTTGACAGCGGTCCGGCTTTTGGTCTCCCCAGCAATTTGCTAGCCACCCTTCTCTTTCTTCTCGGGTTTCTCCCTCTCTTTCGCTCACTCTATCCCCGTCTTCCTCGCTCCGCTGAGGTTTGAGAGTCTTTCTGCGGCTTTGTTTATTTCATTGCCTTGGTGTGTGTGGGGGTGAGCCTGTGTGAGTGCAACTCCTTTGTGTGTCACCCATTTTGGAGGTTTTTTATGTGCTTGTGGCGAACCGTAAAAAACGTCTTCCAAATGGAGTGGTATACCAGGCTTAACCAGCTTGCAGAGCTCTTTCTTTCCCCCCTCCCCGACTCTTTTGTTCAGTTTAAGGAACTAGCAAAATGTTTCACATCATGTTGCTCATTTGTTGCCCCATCAGCGGCAAATGAGGGGTACAAATGGGGTATATGGAGATGGGAGGTTACCAAAGATACCACAGGGAATACTTTTTATTTAAAGCTAGCATGGATCCCTTTTGGTGATTAGATTGTGGATGGTTTTTATTTTGGAACAGCTGTTTTGTCGTCCGCATGTTAAACTAAAGGAAGGTTTTAAACTATGGTTTAACACAAGACAAACAAATATCAAGGTTTTAGTAAAAGTTAATCTGAGCATTTCCTTAGTTTTCTAAAATTAATTGTATCATTTGAATGCTTATAACACTTCTACCTTTATAATCCAATTTAACTTTACTTCCAAGGGTATCATTGAATCGATTGCACTCAATCGCCAGCCCTTCAACTGGGATGCGTTCTAAAGTACTGGCAATTTTTCAGGCACATTACACGGCTCCTCTTGTCCGGCTTAAAATAGAGAAAGCAACTAAGGTAGAAAGGGAGGATGGGATGCAGTTAGAGGGAGATGGATGGAGGGACAGGACATCGAGTGAGTGTTCCACATGAGCAGCGGAGGAATTGAATAAAGTTAGCATGTCGCCGCAGGGAATGAGCCACCCCCTGTGCTGCGTGGAAGTATGCTGTATGCTAGATGGGGGAAAAAAAGCATCATTCAATAAAAAATTAATAGGAAAACATTCAATGAACGTGGCACAAAGGCGCCAAAGGGCCACCAGCAGATATCCCAATCGCTTCGTGCTCGACTGCAACGCTGATGAACAAGCCATCCTGTGTGTGTTCGGAAATCACAGGTAATGTGGTTTTACGAGCACCGTGAGACAGGTGAATCCTCACGAAACCCCCGGCCAAAACCCCTTCCCATACCTTCTATCCAACTGATAAATGCAGCCCCAACTTGGTCGTGAGCCTGACAGCATACAGGGCATACAAAGCATGCTAATAAAAACATATACTACGTCATCTCCATGTTGATGGGGGGTTTTGGCTGCGAGTGTGGGTTATGTAAGCGGATGTGCAACACTTTTTTGTATAGCCCGGCAGCCAGCCAACCGTTGATTATACTAAACTTGTTTACTTATGCTGTTCGTGTGTGTGTGTGTGAGCTCGGAAAAGTGCAAAATTCAGCATAACCAAGCATACTCAACAACCAACTCGCTGTGCCTGTGTAAATTTTGGCTTAGCCACGCGGGTGCTTAGCAGCGGCAAGAGCAAAGCAAGCAGTGTTGTTAAGGAAGGGGTATGGAAGGGGTAAGGAAGGGGTACAGAAGGGGTATGGAAGGGGTACAGAAGGGGTTCAGTATGTGCTAAGTAAGGGGTGAAAATTGGGAAAGCAGGGGTGAAAAATGGGAAAAGGGGCGCATCACGGTAATGCAGATGGTTAGGAACGGGCAAAACTGGGGTCCTGCTATTACCAAGTGCAAAGTGAGGCTTGGTGTGATGAACGACGCCAAAAAATTTGATGGTACCCGATTAACATAATGATTTGCATACGTTTAGCTTGTCCTTGCAGCATGAAAATCTTGGAAAGCGTGAAAACGAGCTCTACTAACGAAAGAAGAGTATCATCTTGATTGATGCCGAAACGAGAGGCGGATGAGGGAAGTGTCAATGCTGCCATCCAAGCAGATGCAGCATATTTTAACATCCTAGGTGCTTATAGCTATACCTACTTGAATAGTTGAAAATTCATGGTTGTATTCAAGATTATCAAACATTTCGTTCTATAGAACTGTTTGGCTGCACAGAAAATGTTATACATTTTTTACCTACTTTTTATTTCTGATTGGTTAACAAGTTCCAACTTGTCTTTTTTATCTGTAACCATTGAATTTGTAATGTGTGTAAGTAGCCCAATATTTGAAAATATGCAGAAATTCTATAGGGCAACCATGGCAATTTACGATGGTTTTTAAAGTGGTTTCGCATGTAACATTTTGTCCATGAACAGGCATTACCCCACATGCTATCGCAATGCATACATGAACAGCAATGCACTCTTTTGGCCTGGCTGAAATTAATTTGAAGCGTAGAAAGTATAAACAGGGGCAAACACAAAGCCATTACCTTCCGAGGGGAGAATTGAGCGGATTGCACAGCAAGCGGTATAAATAAATAAACGAACTAACGAAAATCGAACATGCTGCGCGAGTTGTTCAACTGCAAGAGCAACATAAAAAAGTTCTGATAGGGGAAACTCCAGGCGAAAAAAGTTGCAATTGAATAAGTGAAAACTTACCAGACGATTGCAGAGTCACTGGAAGTGATTGCTATTTGCTTAAAGCCTCGGCTGCAGCGGGACAAATCTCAAGGCCCATGGGAAGCGTATTAATTATAGACAAATATGTGGTAATTGACTATAGCAAGACACACAACCCAGAAGCAGACCGAAACTGAGATATATATAAACGCACACAATGGAGTCTGAATCTGAGCTTGAACTGCACGTTATCCGGCGCACAATGAGCTAATTTTAAGCTAATATTTATGCAGCAATTAAAACGCTTCAGTTGAGTTGGGTTCGAGCTACGGTGACGCCATCTCGACGGGGCTCCTCCCGGGGAACCACCCACACGAAACCCGCTGAAACTCCACCACAACATTTGCTGAGCAAACAACGTCGGGAACAAAGTCTCACTGCAGAAACATGAATGATAAATGGGCGCAAGCTGCAGGAAAGCACTCCCGCTAAAACTATTCCGGATCATGAATAATATTTGATCTATTTGCATACTCACCACGAGTTGCGGGTGAAGCGGCTGGATTCCTATCTTCATTAGAACTAGGAGGAATATTAGATTATTATATAAGATAAACCGTTCTTGACATTCTAAATGAATTATCGGGGCAACTTTATAAAGTTCTCTTTAAATTTGTCTAAGAAATAGGAAATATTTGCTCTATTTGGAATTAAGATGTTCAGAACTCTGTTCTTAACTTTCTAAATTTATTCCCGGGAGGAAATCTCTTTAATGTCTATAATATCTACTCTATTTAGATTGTATAAATATTGATTAGAAACGCACTACAAGTATTTCGATTTCATTTTGAGCTGGGGGATTATGGGAGTGCAGTTCTGATTGCCTTTCATAAAAATACCGAATAACCGCTCTTATCCCCCATTCGATGGCACTGTGTGGATATATTGAAAAGTTGAGCTCTAAGCCCCTGGAACTCATCTCTGGCCCGGGATCAGCAACATCAGCTTAGTCAGAACTTGAGGCCAATAAGGCGTCCTCATCCGGATCCGGGCATGTGAAGTGTCAGATGTCTCTGACTTTTGCCTTTGCCTTTGACTTGGCCAGCACTTTTATATCGGGCCATCCTATACACTCTTACGCCCACATTCATATGGCCACTCATCTGCCTAATTGAATTCCTTAACGCCTGCCACCCAG